AGGAGATATATAGATGACCAACATGAACATGAAAAGACATGCAACATCACTAAATATTAGAGAAATGCACATCAAAACTACAATAAGAGATCACCTAACACCAGTCAGAATGGCCATCACCAAAACGTTGAAAAATCTATAAATCAACTATATTAAAATAATGTATTTTTTAGTAAGTCTACAAGTAATAAATGCTAGAAAGGGTGCAAAGAAAAGGAAACTCAATTGAGCTATTGGCAGGAATATAAATTGGTGCAGTCATTATGGAAAATAGTATGGAGGTAATTAAAAAACTAAAAACAGAGCTACCATATGATGCAGTCTATTCCTGGGCATATATCCCCCCAAAATTAAGACCAATTCAAAAAGCTACATGCATCCCAGTGTTCATAGCAACACTATATTCAATGGCTAAGACATGGAATGTTCAACCTAGATGTTCATCAACAGTTGAAGGAATAAAGAAAATGTGATGTACATACACAATAGAATATTACTCCACCATAAAAAAGAATGAAGTAATACCATCTGCAGCAACACGGCTGAATCTAGAGATTATCATACTAAGTGAAGTAAGTCAGAGAAAGACAAATACCATGTAATATCACATATATGTGGAATCTAAAATATGACATAAATGAACTTATCTATGAAACAGAAACAGATCCACAGACATAGAGAACAGCCTTGTGGTTGCTCTGGCGGGAGGAAAAGATTGGGAGTTTGGGACTAGCAGATGCAAACTATTATGTATAGAATGGATAAACAACAAGATCCTACAGTACACTACAGGGAAGTATATTCAATATCCTGTGATAAATCATATAAGAATATGAAAAAGAACACATATGCATATATACAAGGATCACTGTGCTATACAACTGAAACTATCACAATGTTATAAATCAACTACAATTAAAAATGGCAATTTGAAATACTATTGATGAGTGTGTATACCATCACAAACTTTCTGGTAATATTTATTTAAAATATTAACATTTTACTTATCCTTAGACCAAGCAATTTTACTTCTAAGAACATAAATTAAGAAAATAGTCACAAACGTGCACAAAAATTTATTCAAAGAAATATATGAAAGTGATGTTTACAATAAAGAAAGATGTAAATAACCTGCATGTATACAGATGGGGCATTAAGTCACTATGGTAAATGTATCAATGGAACTTTCTTCGTCCTTTCATTCCCTCACTTACTCACTTTTTCAAAAATAATTTAAGCAAGGGTCAGACACTGGTTAGGCACTGGGAATGCAATAACGAATAAAGATACATTCTATGCTTCAAGGAGGGTCATATGATAGGGAAAAGCTGGGGCTGGGGAGTGACAGCTACTCGTTACAGTAGTCCTCACTCAGTAAGCCTCACTCAGGAGATGAAAAAGGTGAGACCTGTAGAATAAAATCATGCATGTAATGACCTGGAGAAAGATAATTCCAAATCATTAAAATAATTCCATAAAGAATCTAGAAAAATGGTACTGATGAACCTATTTGCAGGGCAGGACAGGAATAAGACGCAGAGAGAACAGACTTGTGGACACAGCCGGGGAAAGAGAGGGCGGGATAAATTGAGAGAGTAGCATTGAAACATATACAATACTGTGTGTAAAACAGATTATCTAGTGGGAAGTTGCTATGTAACACTGGGAGCTCAACCTGGTACTCCATGATAATCCAGAGCGGTGGGATGGGGTGGGGGCTGGGAGGGAGGTTCAAGAGGAAGGCTGGTTCACATTGTTGTATGGCAGAAACTTACACAACATTGTAGAGCAATTATCCTCCAATTAAAAATAAAATGGCAACCCAGTATTCTTGCCTGGAGAATTCCATGGACAGAGAAGCCTGGTGGGCCACAGTCCATGGGTGACAAAGAGATGGAAATGACTGAGTGACTAACACTTAAAAATAAAAATAATAATTTCATAAAGAATATTTAAAACCCAGGGAAGTGTTTATGTTAAAACAACTGGGGAATGAGCAAGTGTCAAAATCATATGTAACATAGTAACAATATCTATAAATATGTATATCACACATATAATTGGAAGGATAGATACCAAAATTTTAACAGTAGCTATTTTGAGTGTGGAAAATTGAGTGATTTTTCTTTTCTTTTTATCACTGATTTGTAAGTTTTCTATTATAAGAAAATTTATCTTTATAATGTGTATTACTTTATAATAAGAAAATAACTAATTAAAAAAGATTAATTAAGAGACTTTGCACTTATGAAATTATGGTTTCAAAATCAGGTACTCTGGACTTGAAGGTGAACCAAGTATTATAATTACCGTCCTTAAATGTTGAGTGCATGGGTATATTTAGAGAAACAAGGACACTGATTCAGATAAGTAACCACACAAATTGCTAGGGAACTCCCACTAAGATTGACAGGCATGTTTTACCTGGGTGATTTTTACTGGAATACTGTAATATTGTACTTGTACAATATCCTCATTTATTGAAGATACACGGTATTATTAATACCAAGGCACTATGTCAAGTAGGAGACATCAAATGACAACATAGCCAGGGTTTCTATAATCATGAAACTTGTATTATAATGTTTAGCATCACAGGATGATAAATTTGTAAATTTGTGGGTCAATATTCTTTTTAACATTCACTCAGCAAATATTTATGAAGTGCCTACTATGTCAAGTAACAAGGATATAACAGGGAACAAATACTCCATATTTATCTCAGTTTACACAAATTCCAAATAAGGAATAAAGATAATTTACACATAACTAATATAACTGTTATTTACCTAAATTTAAGACTGAACAGTCCATAAAGGTGTAATATGTAAGAAAATGATTTCCAGATTTCTTTCTGTATAGTCAGCCTTAGCCAAACACTAGTGAAAGTATTTTCCATTTTTCTGACTTCTAAAATAGTAGTGTTGACCACTACTCTCTTATAGGATAAGAGAATAATAATATTCTTTTTCACTAGAGACACTGGAAGAACATTCAAGTTGAAATGTTAATAGAACACCAAAATCAATTGCTGCACGTTTTTCTTATTGTAATTCCCTGGGTAAGCCTCATTCTCCCGAGGGCTGCCAAGGAAGACAACTAATAGAGCTAAGCGACTTGCAGAATGTTGCAAATGCTAGATGGTGATTGACTGGAGAAGCCATGATGTATAATTTATCCAAGTGGCAAGCAGCTTGAGCAAGCTCTAATGTAATTTTGGGCTTAATTATTTGGAAAAAAGGTAAATGGCACATGAATGAAATCCATAAATGATACAAACCTGCGAGTTATAAATGCCTATGAGAGGAGGAAATAGTGCAAAGGTGTAGGGAAGTAGCATGTATCAGGAGGCAACAGCCCAGAGAAGCTCCGCTCAGAAATATGCAGGAGATACCAAGGACGGATGCTGTCTGCTGGGCCGGTCAACTGGAAAACTGTTTCTAAAGGTCTGCAAACTGCATATGCACTCTTGTACACACACTGCTGCACTGAATATACTTTCATAGTCAAGATTTATAATCTTCTGATATGGTTCTTTATTTAAAGGGTCTAGAGCTGAATGGATTTCAATAGTGCAACAGGTATGTTTATTTAACTAGGACCCTGGAACAGAGACAGTAGTTAGCTGGAGTCAATTAAAGGGATTTGGAAAGCAATACACCTCATATCATTGTATTTTACCTTCAGAAATGCTAACATGGTGATGATTCCAGGTGCACGGTTCAAATTTGCTTCTAAAATTCACCACTGTCCTAAAGAAAGACACACAGCAACAAGACTCCCAAACTCTTCACTTTCTTTCAATCTAATTCTTCTGCGAAGTATTTTTTTCTGAGACTGTTACACAATTTTATAAGCAGGCCAGTTTCAAGTCTTTCTACACATGTGGTACTGGGATTAGTCATGAGGCACTTATTTTCTAGTAAGAAGAATTAGAACCTTCACCAGCTGGTGGTGATTTCTTCTCCAATCATGGGCTACCATACAGTGAGGTGAGAATTCAGAGTATATTTTTTTCTACAGTTTTCTCTATTAAAAATAGCTTTTTCTCTACAACAATGATATATGTAAATATTACAATTAATATGCACACTATGTTTTAAAAGTATATTAAACAAAATGAAAATATTAAAAAATGTGTTGGGCCCTAGTTACAATGAATGTTCTTCTGTATCCTTCAGCTCTTAGCTTCATTGTTAATCACTTACTTGTTCTAACTTCACATCAAACTCCCTGGAACTTTTCATGGTGTTAGAATCTCACAAGACAGACTTTCAGGATCTTGATGATCAAATCTCTCTCTTATCTGCACCATGCTTCCTCTTCAGAAGCTTTCAGCTTCCTTCTCTTGTGTTTTCAGAGTTGGTGGTGCTGAGAACTTTTACTGCCTCACTGAGCATCATTTCCCCATTTCCCTCTTTCCTCTCCTGGAGAAGTTAGCAAATCAACTTTATGTCTTACAAGGATTAGCAGAAGTTGGCAAAGAGGAAAATATGTGTGTATATGTGTGTATATATATATTTTCCATGTGTGATAAGTACTATCTTGAAAATTAATTACCTGCTTCTTTTCCTTCCCAGTACTCATTCTTACCCTCTCCCTTTTGGGACTGGCCTCATTCTATGATAGAGTCCATCACCTTTCAAACCAGTTGCAGCTCAGACAAACCTATTGAAATTGATCTGTATCTAAAAGCTTGAAGTTTAAATAGGGCTGTGTTAATAAATGTTTAACAGTTTGTTCTGGGTGGAAGGAGCAGAGGTAGGGAGAGGCATGACTTGTGGCAGTTCCCATTTCTGTGGTGTAAATGCTACTCTGGCTGGTCTCAAGCTTCCAGCGTGATGCCAGTGTATGCAGAATTGGAAAGAAATGATGACCCATGTGAACCAGTGCAGATAGTGTCCAACACACCACTGGAACTCTTAGCTTATTAGACCAACTTTTAAATTTAAATGTATTACATCGCACGTAACAAGTTTCAAAGCAGAGAATTTACTTACCTCATATGGACACCCAGCCATAAGTTTTGGAGCCCTCACTTCCATTCCTGGTCCTTGCTTCCTGAAATGGCTATATGGATTACCTGAGTACAAAGTGAGACACATATCTGCTATATCAATTCTGAATGCAAAACCACTGGAAATTGTTTTCTAGACCTAATACAGGTTAGTACTATTAGGTACTCTATATATCAAATCTATTACCTTGCCACATGAACGCATTAAGCAGCACCTCTCTTCATCCTCACATTAGCTGGATTACAACTGTCCCATTGCTAAGATTATTTCAAATTAAAGCAATGTGTTTGAAAAATATACACCCAGGAATAATCCTGAGTTGAAGGAAGTGGATAAATTGTGGGAGGAAAATTGCCTGATTAGCAAATAAGAGTCCTCAGGTTGTGTTTTCTGATGTTCAATACTAATAGCATAATCATGTACAACAAATTTTCCTTTGAGACAAATGAAGTCATTCAAAATCATTCAAACAATTTTGATAATCATAATTTATCATTTATAGCTAAAAACCTTTCTCTTCCATAAAGACATTCTGCCACATCCTATGCAAAAAGGCCTTGTTTCATCACCCAGGTGATAAACTCTTGGAGCATGTGACAGGCCAGATATATTTTGTATCCTCCACAAAAATCCAACATTTAGTAGTTTATTAATTGATCATTTTATGAATTTTAGCTAAATCTGAAGGGTTCTGACTGAAACTAGCGATTCTCTTAATCCACAGATAGGCTTTCTCTAGTTTCTCTAAACTAAAAGTTAGAACATATATGAGGACAATAATTTTTCTAATTTACACATTTCTTTATATGGAAAGTCATAAAAAACACAGATCACAGTTAGTCATTTGTTAACACAAAACAGTTTTTCCTGAAAAGAAAGGAAGCTATATAGAAATCCTGGACCAGGTAGCGCGTGTGTTGGTCGCTCAGTCGTGTCCGACTCTGCGATCCCATGGACTGTAGCCCACCAAGCTCCACTACCCATGGAATTAATACTGGAGAAGGCTGCCATGCCCTTCTCCAGAGGATCTTCCCAACCCAGGGACTGAACCAGTGTCTCCAGCATGGCAGGCAGATTCTTTACCTTCTGAGGCACCAGGGAAGCCTGGACTAGGTAGAATTCTAGTCATTTATTTCTGTGTAACAAATCATCCCCAAACTTAATGATGGAGTGCAACAACACTTATTTTGTCTCTCAGAGTTCAGCTAGGTGGTTCCAGTTGGGGATATAACTGATATCAGATGATGGCTGGCATTTAGACAGTCTATTGGATGGACTCTGGCTGAGCAGCTCTCTGCCTGCTTATAGTCTTAGGACCTCTCCAAATGGTATCAATACAAGGTCTTCTCAGCAGAGTAGCCATGCCTCTTACATGGTGGCTCAGTGAGTATGGCTGGTGAGTGCCTTAAAATAAACTGGGAGACGCTGCATGAATTTTCCTTACCTAATCTCGGAGACCACACAAACTCAAGGCTGCCATGTTTATTTAGTTAAGGCAGTCTCAAAGGAAAGGGAAATAGACTCCATCTCTAATGGCTTACTGATTTAACTTAAAAAAAAAACCTGACATGCAATAAGCTGATATGAACTATCTGATGTTTTGACAAATGTATAAACCTATGACACAACTACCAAAACCAAGGTAATGAACTTACCCATCACTCCTAAAAGTTTTCTCCTACCCTTTGGTAATAATCCTCCCTTATCTTCTTCCCCGGATAACAAGCAATTATTTTCTGCCTGCTTTCTGGCACTAATGACTAGTTTGCATTTTCTGGATTTTATATAAATTGAATTCTACATGATGTGCTCTTTGTCTGGCTTCTTTTCCTCAGCATATTTATTTTGAGATTCATTCATGTTGTTGTGCATCTTAACAGTTCCCCCACAGTGTTGTACATATGAATAGTTATTCCTTTGTATGGATATTCCACAATTTGTCTAGCCCTTCAGATGTTATAGATATTTGGGTTGTTTCCAACTTGGGGCTATTACAAACAAAGCTGCTGCGAACAACTGTGTACAAGTTTTGGCATGCATGTGCATTTTCATTTCTCTGGGATAAATGCCCAGGAGTATGATTGCTGGGTTATATGGTAAGTGTATGCTTAGCTTTTTTAAGACTACCATCGAATAGTATGGCACTCTGGAATTCCAGAGTGGTTGTACAATTTTACATTCCCATCAGCAGTGTACAAATAATCCAGTTTCTCTGTATTCTCACCAGCATTTTATGCTATCACTACTTTTTAATTTTAGCCATTCTGATAGATGTGCTCACTGCAGTTTTAATTTGCATTTCCCTAACGATGTTAGACATCTTTTCATGTGCCCATTTGCCATCTGTATACCTTCTTCAATGAAATGTCTATTTATATCTTTTGCACATTTTGAATTGGATTTTTCTTTTTTACTGTTGAGTTTTTGAGAGTTCCTTATAAAACATACACAAGTCAACTGTCAGGTCAATTATCTTTAAAAGAGCTTAAATAAGAAAAAAAAATCATGAAATAGCTATTTCTGGTGTTTTATTTGCATGTGGTCTCACTGTATCTTCCTTAAGAAATTTCATTAGCATATCTTGTAGTGTTGGTGTGTGGGTCATTTTGTTTGTCTGAGACATCTTTATCTTTGAAAGTTATTTTTTCTGGGTATGGAATTTTAGGTTGACAGATTTTTTTTTTTTTTGGTCTTTCAAAGAGTAAAGAGTACTGTCTTTACATTGTTTCCAAAGAAGGATCTATTGTCTTCCTAATCTTTTTTCCTCTGTTCAATATGCTTTTGTAATCTGGCTGCTTTTAAGATTATTTTATCACTGGTTTTGAGCAACTTGACTATGATATGTCTTAGTGTGATGTGTCACACGCCCATCTCTAATCCAATCTCTGGCAAAGGAGAACAGAATTATGATGAAAGATTTAAACTATGATTCATCTCCTGGGGATATGCTCACCTTCTCTGAGCCTATGTTTGCATGACACCTGCAAAAGAGAACAGTTTTGTTAGCAAGTAAAAAGACATAAGAAAAATTTGGGAAATGAAAGACCTGAAAAGCTTGAGTATACCAAGAAACAGGATAGATATCAATTAAAAGATCTTAACTTCTAAATATATACAGCATGAAATAAAATAGAATCATCCTGGGTATAAGATACTTGTTTAGCTGGCTTGGGATTAGAGTTAGGATAGTATATGTAAATAAATATTTTAGGTGTCCAAGAAAAATTAGGCCTGCATAGGAAAGGAGTTCACTCTTCCTGTGTAATGACAGTGGTACTCAGTTGACACGGTTTGCATGAAAATCTTCACCTACTATAAGAAAAGTGCTTTATTGCATTCGGAAGATGACAGTTGTGGAGTAGGTGAGAATATACTAGAGCAAAGCAAGAGGCAGCATTATAATCTCAAATCAAAGCCTTAAAGAGACACTCTGACCTTATTCAGTTCCTCAAATGGTGCCAGTAGACAAGATGAGCACTGTATCCTTGGTCCATCCTTCTGTTTGTCCCTAGAAATTCATCCAAGAACCTCAGGACTGAAGTAACTTATCTGATAGTCCCAAGGTTCACTGCATTTAAAAATCCTGTCTTAGCCAGCTAAAAGCAGAATTCTTCACAAACGTGGGAGTTTCACAGCCAGATCCATCACCATAATCTAACAAAGCTGATGATTCATATCAGTCTTAATTATACTTCCTCACAGTAGTAACATCACAAGAAAATAAGGGCATAAGTTATACATCACAAAACACCATTCATTACTTTGCTCATTTCATTTTTGAAAGAATTATCTAAAGGGGGGATAGCAAGTACCAAGAAAGATTGGACAGTTCCCAGTATGACTAGGAATGATGGTTTCACCAAGGAACTGTGCTCTTACACAAGAACTTAGAATGGACTCATTGGAAAAGACCCTGATGCTGGGAAAGATTGAAGGCGGGAGGAGAAAGGGACAATAGAGGATGAGATGGTTGGATGGCATCACCGACTCAATGGACAGGAGTTTGAGTAAACTCTGGGAGTTGTGATGGACAGGGAGGCCTGGCATGCTGCAGTCCATGGGGTCACAAAGAGTTGGACACGACTGAGTGACTGAACTGAACTGAACTGAATTGAGACTGAAGTCATAATTCTTACATTCATGTTCTTCTAGTATTTGAATATGGTGATAGGAAGTGGGAAATTTCTTCCAGTATTTGAATATGGTTTGATAGGAAGTGGGAAATTTTATAATTTTGCTAAATTTATTCTCAAACTAGCATAGCAGGAGTCCATTTATTCCATACACTTTCAGGAATAAACAAAATATATAAACCCCTTCGGTGGCCCCATCAGTAGGAACTTCTCTGCCTACAGGTGATATGACACATTTCTCAGTTAACTCTGAAATCCAAATGTAAAATCCTGCCTTTAAGGACATTGCCATATAGATTTGTTACACACCCTGAGACGCTTTGGTTCTATAATCCAAAGACTAGAATACGCTCACCTATATGAAATTTTCTATGAAAAATGTACAATGTAGACATGCAATGTCACTTTTACATGCTGCTTTTTATGAGAAGATATAAGCACTAGAGTGAAAATGATGAACAGAATTCCTATCAAGTTGACATGTTCTTCATTTAACCATTTGAAGGCACCAAAGCAAGAGAAAGGTCATTATCAAAAACACGGCATAGTATTTTTATCTGACCAGTGAAGTGTGTTGCCCTGGTTCACAGTGAGAACTGTGACCCAGCCAAAGGAGAGTGTCACACTTAAAATCTGGTTTGCAATGTGTCTTTCATTTCAGCAGATGACCTCCTTTCTGCTACATATCAAAGAAGCTGTAAAGGTCAACTGACCTCTTAAAAGTGGGAGAGACAAAAGTCAGTGCTGCTACATCAGCTGCAGGATTTCAAGTCAGAATCTTTCCCCCAAAATGCAGTAGGATAAAGCAATCCACAGCCACCTAAGAGACAAACCCCTCCCTTTCGGTTTGCAACAGTCATCTGGGGCAGTTCTTTTTTTTGGGGGGGGGGCAGTTTTAATAGCAAAAATGTATGAGTTTTGCAAATTTCTCAGATCAAATTGAGAGTGAAAGAAAACACTTTTAATAATTATGTCAGAAAACAGATGTACATGAGGTGCTTCCTAAGCAAACAGGGGCATATGATTATATATAAAAATGAGGGCAGGACTGTAAGAAACATAAACAAATATGCAAAGTAGAGTTACTAAAACTCTGCACTTTATGGCCATTATATTGTCATAGAAACACAAATGAGTTTGCATGTGGAAATCCCCTTCCAAGACAGCACTGGTTGATGTCATTTTTGTCGTTATCACAGGAGGTGGAAAGTGTAGATGGGAGACAGCACTTCTGCAAATAGCACAGGAGCTTCTGCTAATAATTATAATGTGCGATTGCTACGGGGTAAAATGATACTTAAGGATAGAGTGGGTTAGGAGGGTTTCTTTTGCTGCCTTCCATTCTGGCCCCTTATTCCTTTCTAGATGGCTAACAGCACAGAGGAGAAAAAGGAATCTGTCCAGAGCAAAAGGCTCTGTCCTTGATCCAGCTGTGAGTCTCTCATGGGAATACCCACTGCTCAGACTCCCCTAGCTGAACAGGGCATCCTTGGAGGGTTCCTACCAGAATTATTTCTGTTAGCTCATACTTTTTATAACTAAAACCATTTCCAAGGATGGAGGAATCCCAGAGTTAATTTTTGTCTTAAACCCTTTACATGTAAAGCACAAATGATTACTAATTGGGAAATTTATTTAGCAAATATTTGGGGAAGAAAAAACACACCTTTTTATAATTGTTGTTGTTGTTGTTGCTATGTTTCCCACTCTTCACCCCCTCCAAAAAGAGGGGTGCAGGTGTGGGGGCAGAACAGAGAAAAGGAGAAAAGTGGCTTCAGCTCAGTGAAACACTAAAAAATGCACATGAATCAATTATGAAAAAGAGAAGGTCCCTTTGAATGAGGAAAAGCTGATTGGAATTAAGATAGGCTTTGTTCCTATCTGCAAGGTACAAGGAGGGGACTTTTCAGCGGAACAGAAAAGGGGGATTTGGGACTGTTTGGCTGCTTAATGCCATAGTGCTTCAGAGCCCATGTGAAAATTTGCTGCTGGCTATTAATCATCATTGTGCCCCTGCAAAGAAGCTGTTACAATGATGACTATATGTCATTATATTCCCACTGTAAGTAACGAATCAGAGAGCTGGGAAAGTTGGATAAGAGCGGCTGGCAAACTTTTAAGCGGTCGAATCTATTTAAATAAATTTACATCACATTTGCTACTTTCTCTGGTATGGGAATCATACTTTAAAATGAAACAATATGCTGTGTTCATGGGGCCTGGTCTTTTATTCCCCTGTCTCTGAGCCTACTTTCCAGGTCAGCCTTTGCCAGCGCTGACAGCACGCTTTTCTCATAGCCTCTCCTTCTCATAGCCTTTGGTTGCTTTCAAGTTCAATTTAGCACAATAAAGTTGTTATGCATGACAGTTTGGAGTGCAGAATAGGTGGTGTCTGAGCCCGCTGTGTCGCTACAAAGTGGGTCCATTCTCTGTGGGCCGGCTCAGTTACTGGAGCCTTACTGGTGGGATTCAACCATGGACTTCCAGACGTTCCCATCCTGACGAAAACAATTAGCTTCAAACCGCACGAAGCCGCGGGGTCAGCCTCTCTTTGACTGAGGCTGCGCCATTTAACGTGCTGCAGTGGATTTCAAATTTATGTTGATTTATCCTGTTGCGCTCCCCTTTTATGCACTTTATTTACAGATGTGTAAAGAACAGGGAAAGTTGGAGTCCCACATGCTTCAAAAGTTTATCAGAAATCTAAACCATTGTTTTTATGTTTATTTTATAGAAAAATAGAGTTGAAACGTGTCAAGCTTAATTCCATTAGGCTGAACTGCCCAGAACAGAGCCCTGGGCTTTGCAAGACAGAATCTGAAAGGAAGTGTCTCCTTGGCTAAGCATCATCAACAAGCCAAACAACAAACAATCCTAAAACACTGGTGTTGTCAGTATAGTTTTCTATTGTGGGAGATTACCCTCCAAAATTCCAGTCTGACCTAAAAGTGACAGATCTTTTAATAGAAGCAAGATGTAATTCTCAGCTATTATCAGCCACCATGTGTATTTGTGTGTGTGCATATGGATGTATCAGATCAATTAGTGCTTAGTATTCACTGATGTCCACCCAAGTCCTTATTGTCCTTAGACATATGATACATTCTGCTGCCAGAAATCAAATATCATTTGATTTTTTGACATTGTAGAATTATACTCCTGCAGAGAATATAACCTCTTCTCTTGTCCCTCTGATGAAAATCATGTAACAAAGCAAATTTAGGAGTAGTCTTAATTTTACCATCAGAGTCATCTAGGCCAGATGTCTTTAGTCTCTGAGCAATCCCAGTAAAAGAAATCACAGTTGTCTTGATTACTGATCTCACTAATTATAGGGTACCACCATCAAATAAGTCTCTTTCCAGATTAGAAATTAACTCAAAGCATATCTTAAAAGCATATTTCACTATCTTAAAAGAGTTCAGTATTTTTCTCTAAGCTATTGTAACACCTAAAAAAATTTCTTTTTGCCAAAAAGGTGAAATACAAATGGAAACCGTTCCACATAATGTTTACTTTAACTGTGTACTAGCACAGAAGAGTAAAAATTAAAATTCCACATGGAGAGAATTTCTGGAAAATAATTCTGTCTTTCTAACATATCATTTAATATAATTTCAAAGTGTTTTTGACCAGGTTACATCATTAAAAATACAAATATATTTCACATCAGCAAAGTTTGTGAAGAAAACTCGACTGTTTGCTCTGGGCAGCCCCCTCCTTCTGCCAATGTTTGAATATTATTTGGTGTCACTTTTAGTAAGGCGTTTTTTTTTTTTTTTGAGGTACTCATTTAGAATGGATTTTGGAAGTGAGGCTAGACAGACAAAGAAAAATTGCATTATAAGAGAAAGTAAATGTGTTTATGACAAAATCACTACACCCTTTCTAAATTTCAAATGGGAAAATTTTTTGCCATTCAAATGAGGGAATACTCCAAAAACTGACCAAGATATTTAAGTGATAAGTCTTTTTTTTCCTGAAGAAATATGT